CCAACCAGGAGTGACATCGATTTTTACTTGAAAATATAGAAAATAGATACTGGCATCTCTGCAGAGGATGCATTATCCTATAAAGACATAAAATTTTTCTGCAATGCAAAGATTCGCAAAGAATGAGAATTGCATTATCAGGCTTCAAAAAAGATCAAAGGTAAATTCTACGGCACAACACAAAAACCAATACCTATCAGACCATGGTATGACGAGTTTACTGAATGTCGGTCGTTTTTTTCTATAATATTCAGACTAAGATTTAACCATACATACACTCCGTTTTACCTGAGTAGAATTGGGATCAATACCGATCCCTAATTGCTATTGCTTGGGTGGAGTGACTAGGGCGGATGCTGAGCACGCCGTTATGGATTGCAAAAAATGGGGAAAGGTTAGGCAAGAACTATGGAGGGAGATAGTAAGGCAAAAAATTTCACCTCCCAACAATAAAAAAAGTAAAAATAGCCCTTTACCATGCATTTCTGCTTCTATTAAAAAGTCATTAGTTAATTATTAGTCATTATCTAATAATAGACACTCGTTGAGATGGCATGGCATCGTTGATGTTTATAAGATTGTTATTGTTAATGATAATATATTTAACAAAATTCTTTCAATAAGTGCAATGTGTGTGTTTTGTTTTACTTTATAAATAATCGTTAGTAACCATTAAAATATTTTAGGAAAATTGAGAATAAGTTGAAGAATTTTGAAGACAAACCTCCGATATCGGACAATACCAAGCAAATTGTGAAACTAAATTTACGCAATTTGCCACTGTTTGTGATTTAGAAAATATTTCGTTTTGACCTTAGATATTCATATAATTAATTACAACTATTTTTTAGAAATTCTAGTATATATTATCAACCTAATCCATATTTTTTTTTTTAAGTTTTTCGATGTTTCGAATTTTGCATCAGGCTCTAGGTCTTTTAAATATATTTTTTTTATCACTATCAGATTTAAGCACATCTGAATTGCACCTTTTCTCTAAATCTTCCACTTCATCAGAAGATATAAATTTATTATAGTATTGTTAACAATTATGTATTCGATTTCGTTTAGTTTCATTTACATATTTGACTAAATTATACTTATACTAATTAATTGATTATTGTTCCAAATAATATAAAATTGCGTTAATGATTCATTACAATCATCCTCTAATACTAATTGGCTCATAGAGCTCAGTTTTCTAAGATCTTTTGTCATTTGTTATGGCTTTATTCGAAACTTGTAAATAATGGTGAATGTATTTAAATTTCTCACAACCAACACAAAGGTTGTCTCATTTATCATCATAATATTTTGACCGTGTAAATTGAAATTATATGTGAAACATATTTTGGAAGCAGATTTCTGGTCGCCGGACAGACAAATAAAACATAAATGCTTCCGCCCATATTCCTCGAGCACGGGATTTATAATTAAACAAAATCAAAAGCGATCTCATTAATTAGCTTCTTAGAGAATAATAAAATCAAAAGTCACAATTAGGAGGTGTTCGTGGGAACCTTCGTTAATAAAAATAATATAAATCACTGTGCCGAGAGATAGTGAAGCCAGGTGATCTAATTCGCACACTACTATTTATATGATATGAATCGCATTTTCCAGCTGGCATTTCAAAACAGCGTATGCAAATGTCGAGATGCTCGTATTGGATCTGTATTTATTGTATAATACGATTTCTAACGACTATTTCAGTTACCTTTTTAGTCCTTCGCATTACTTTGCATAACTGTTTCATAAATGAGATATTTCTATAGAATTTGCTCCAACTTAGGACAGAAGAAGTAGAACTACGAACAGTATTATCTACTTCGTACCAAAAAAATAGTTGTTCAGAAAGTTATTCTATAAAACCCTCTCTGTTTGTTCCTTATATTTGTTTTGTTATTTTATAAAGCGAGTTTTACAATAAGAATGTTATATTGAATAGCCCGAGTCCGCCATTTCCTAAGAAGACTTCTGAAGCTGTTAGTTTTTGATAATTGCCAAGTATAAATTATGAAATTAATAGCAGTGTAACAAAACGTGTTTCAACAGGGCAAATAAAATTATTAAAAATCACTATAAATTTAGTGAAAACCTAGTTCGTAAAACTTTTTTGAATCCTGGTGAAGCTTTTGTGCAAAATTCTAACTGTAAGTGATACAAACGAGAATAAAATCCGTGAAAATCGTTTAAAAACAACTGAAAATATTGCTACTGCATTCCAAAATCTTCAAGAATGGATTGATCTATCAATATATGATTAATGATTAAATTGAATGGTATTGATCTGGACAACAGTAACTTTCGATAAGATGATGATACGAGTCACACAAGAAACAAAACATCGACTTGGAAAGTTTTCAGACCGTGTTATTCCTTGAAAAGGTGATAGCAATTAGTCATCAAGATCTTGTGATTCTTTGAGTAAGTACTCAAACAGTTTTCCATCGATTATTTGATGTCTAAAATATGGAATTCGTGAAGTTATTGAGGGCCTACACCAACCACTTACCGATTTAGTTATAAAAAAAATCATGAGAAGTAAAAGTCCTGTGAGAGTAGTAGAATTTTGCAATTGGCTGGTATTGTTTCCTGTTATTAATGGCAAATATCGAATGATATATCATTAAAAAAAAGTTGAACTTTAATTTATAGGAAACTTTTATCACACTGCACTACATAAAATGCGCATTTGATATATTTATATGACTCGTGCAGCTATTTTGCATATATTTCAAAGAAACCACAATAAAAATTTTCAGCTAGATCTGAGTGCTACATGGTCTTTACACAAATATTTGTTAATTCCTAATGATTTGAATTGAATTCTTTGATTTTAATCTTAGGTAGGTACTATATAGTTTCAAATGCATCTTTTAAATTATTCAATATTTGATTTTGAAAAAACACAATGCAATATCAAATTTGTATAAAAAATTGTGAATACCTCTCACATATTAAACATTGAAACGTTTTGCAATATTTATCATGTCTATCTATGTATCGCGTGATCCAGAACATAGATTACTCGATCATTGAATTCATTTCAATGTTAAAATTTCATTATAGATAATTGCAATTCAAGCAAACGAGTATATAATTAGCGAACATTTATGTCTAGTTATATGATCAAGTTAATTCAATAAACAGAATCTTCATTTCCTCTCGAAATGGGGCCAATGAATCATAATTATATTTCTGGTTTAATATTTGGATATATATATATATATATATATATATATATATATATATATATGTTGAATATCAAAACTTGTTTTAATTCGTTTTTAATAGTCGTCCAGCAGAACTTGGGAATATTTCACAACCTAGAAGCGAGATAATAATGCTTTCTTTTCTTTGTTTTATTCAATGTTCGTTAGAAGCACTTATCGAATTCTCTCTGAAATTTACATCGTTTCATCACTTTTACTTTTCGAATAACCACTATCACTTAATTGCATTTACACCCAAATATACCATCAAAAACCTAGTACTATGGCTATTTCCTCATATAAATATTATTTTATTATAAATGCTAAATACTGTACTCTTACTAAACGAGTTCGACTCGCTTTTCGCCGTAGTTTTTTTTTTTAGTTTCGTGATTAGAAGTAGAAACTATAAAGAATGTTGTAGGAAACCCGTGCAACTGTTTTATATTGCATCCGGCGTGAAACTATGTCAAAATCTTTTCTAGTGTTCTTAATGTACCCATGGCGTTATAAAAGAATTTTCAATTGACGATAATTGGACACCTTAGATGTATTTCCTTTTATTTACTACCGTATTACTCAGGGAATGACAACAAAATGAGAGAAATATCTAATGGGAAATATCAGGTTCTAATACAATTTTGACTAATACGAAAGGTAAGGATTTAAAAAAGAAAATATTTATTTACTTACTAAGTTTTTGATTGAAGTTAGGTGTAAATTAGCTAACTAATATTGGCACATTTAATTAGAAACCCCATAAGTGTAAATATAAATATATGTGTTTATAATTAGTTAAATATTACCAGCTACATCAGGTGTCCAGGATTCTTGTACACTTAACAAGTAGACACATATAAAGACATAACTACTAAGACATAAAACGTAAAACGTAATTATTACATTTTATTATTCAATTACTATTTCAGTACGTACCGTTTTCTATGGCAAGTTAAGTGTAAATTGTTTAACGAAGTTAATGAAATACCTTCATAACACTTAACAGATGGGCTCCGTAACGTTTCTGCGTTTACATTAAGGTAAATATAATTACGCGCTTAAAATGACTAAATCTTTAATGAATCGGAATTTGCCAATTTTGATACCAATTCAGAAACTAGTTGGTTTGGTATTTAGCCTTGAGGCAAATTACATGAACTTCCCGATATGTGTAAATAATCGACTTGATAAAAAAATGTGTA